CACAACCACATACAAAAACCACAGCTAAATTCCTTATTGATTCTTTAATTCTCATTTTTTGTCAATTTTCACAAACATAAATATTTTTAACTTCTCTAAAAATGGCTAGCCGTAATAATGATAGAGTCTCATATCGTGCTTTTTTGAAAGATATGCTTGACGATTCATTGGAGCAACTTGAATTTTCCTTGATGGAGGCCACGACTATGCAATTGCAGCAAGCCGAGCAAGATGAAAGCTCAACTAGGCGTGAAAGACGAGAAGTGCCTCAAAATCGTGAAGTTGGACATGCCCTACTAGTAAGAGATTATTTTGCTCCTGATCCCATATACCACGAAGGCTACTTTTGTCGTAGATTCCGTATGTCCCGACGATTATTTTGTCGGATCGTTTAGGATGTCGAAGGCCATTCCGATTATTTTAAGTGTAGATCAGATGCGGCACGAAGATCAGGTTTTACACCAATTCAGAAGTGTATTGCGGCTATACGTCAACTAGCATACAGAGCTCCTGCAGATCAATGTGACGAATACCTTCGTATGTCAAAGCAAACAGTGAATCGAAGTCTGATCGAGTTTTATCGTGCTGTGCGAGAAATATATGCACCCCAATATTTGCGCCCCCAAATGCCAGTGACATCCAAAGAATACTTACATTACACGAGGAGAAACATGGTTTTCCTGGCATGTTGGGAAGTCTAGATTGTATGCATTGGGAGTGGAAAAATTGTCCAGTTGGATGGCGGGCTCGTACACTCGAGGGGACCATGGGGTACCCACGATTATGCTTGAAGCAGTGGCATCATAAGACTTATGGATCTGGCACGCATTTTTTAGGCTCGCGGGATCACGAAATGATATAAATGTACTACACGAATCTCCATTATTTAATGATGTTTTACATGGTGTAGTTCCAGAGGTCAATTTTGTGGTTAACGGGACTCAATACACCAAGGGATACTACTTAACAGACGGTATCTATCCAGAGTGGGCTACATTTGTCAAAAGCTTTCAATGTCCAGAGGATCCAAAAAGGAAAAAAATTCAAGCAAAGGCAAGAGGCTGCAAGAAAAGACGTTGAGCGTGCTTTTGGGGTCCTCCAGTCAAGGTGGGCAATTATTCGAGGTCCTTCTCGTTTTTGGTATAAAGAACATCTTAGCGGATTTATGTTATCGTGTATCATTTTACATAACATGATAATCGAAGACGAAGGCGAAGAAGCTACCAACTGATTAATTGGAATGAATCTACTTCCCATATTTGGAAGTAGATTCATCATCAACTTCGACACGACTTGGTCAAACATATTTGGAATGAATCTACTTCCCATGATTAATATTTAGAACAAATTTGTACTCAAAATTTAATTTTCAATATTATGTATGTTCTATGTTTTGTAATTTTTGTTTCGTAATTTTTATATTTAAAACTATACATTCGTATGTACTTAACAATATATAATATATATAAGTATATTATTTTCTAGATGTATTAATATATGAAATATTTACATTTAATAAGAATAAAAAGTAGAGTTATAATTTTAAGATATTAATAAAATATTAGTATAATATTAATTAAAAGGAAGTGGGAAAC